TACAGAGTGCTGAGGGTCACAATGGGGAACTCACCTCATCTGGGGAGACTCTCCTCGGAAATGACCTTGCAACTAGGTCCGAGCAAAGGGTAGGGATTAGCCAGGCAAAGGCAGAGGGACGGACAAGTACAGGGTCCTCAGTGCATGGGGCTGGGGTGGCTGGAGAAGAGCATTCTAGAAAGACAGGAGACCAAGTGAAAAGAAGCAGGGGCCAGCCCCACGGCACAGCGGTAATGCACTGCTCAGGAGAAGGTGGCTCCCCCAGGGTGATGGCGGTTGAAATCCCGGCCCAGTGTGCCGGAAATGCTCCAGGCATGCACAGGGTGCCGGGATCCCATGGGCTGAGGACAGCCTGACTAGACCCTGTAGAGGGTGCCTCCTCTGTACACTGTCACCATGAAGTGGTGGAATACAGAGCAAGGAGGACCAAGGAATTGGGTAAGGACTGGGACCGAGTCACAGGTTCGTGTCAGCCATGGCGAGGGGCTTCTCCTACATCCTGCAGGAAGTGGGAAGCCATGGGAGGGTATAGAGCAGGAAAAGGAGGGATCCTTTCTGCTGTTTTTCAGACTGAGCTCTCTGAAGTCTGTGTTGCTCCTCTAAGTCTCTGTCCTCGGGGAGGACACAGAGCCATGTCCTCAGGCGCCCCCTGGCTGAGTGAAGGCACATGGCAACCCTGTGCAGGGAAGGAGGCGTGGTTATGCCTTGCAGCCCCGTTCTGAGCAGGAGACAAGGCTCACCCAGCCCTGGGTCTGTCGAGCCCATGGTGTTCTGAATCCTTGGAGTCTGGGAGACATGGTTTGGGGACAGACCACCCGGCCCCCTGCATCTCCATGAGGACCATGGCTGAGGGTGTGTCCAGGACCCACATGGCCCCCTGAGGCCGAGGCCCGATGCTGGGGGAGTGGAGGTTAGGACTTGCAGGGACCTCGCCTCCCTCAAGGGCAGTCCAGAGCCTGTGTCACCTTCCTACACAGAGTTCAGCCCCATCCCTCACCACACCTCGGAGGGCCACCCTGTGCTCTGAGATAGGAGCTGGCCCACCCTGCCCGAAGCCCGTCCCTGCCTTGCCTGGGCTGGGTGGGCCTGGCCGGGTGGAGGGGAAGTGGGTCAGCTTGGTAGCCATGGTGACAGCAGCTGCTCCCCGCCAGACTTCTCATCTCCTCACCACAAACCTCTCTGATGAGCGCCTTTGTCCGGTCTGGCAGGGATAGGGGCCAGGAGGCTGAGACTGGGGGCTGGAGCGTGTGTGGATGTGTGTGTTCACACTTGCACGAGCTCGGTGCTGATGTGCGTGCTTGTGCAAACAGGAGCGTCTCAGCCAAGGGACCAGTCGCTTCCTGCTTCCCCGCCTGCCGAAGCCACAGGGCTGTTCCTCCCCCTCTGGCTGGGCAGGAGCCAAGAAGAGATGTGTGTGTGCGAGGGTGCAGGTGTGTACACACATGTGAGTATTTGGCTGCTTCTCAGTGCGTGTCTGTGTACACGTGATTGTCTTTCAGTGTGTAGCATCTGTGTGGGTCTGTGTGATGTGTGATTACACGTTTGAAATCTGCCATTTGGCTGTGTGTGTGTGTGTGTGTGTGTGTGCACGTACCCAAGCCTGATTTAGGGGAGACAAGTCTATACAGCCGGGAGAGGAGCCGTAGCGGGTCCTCACTCTGGCCAGGAGTGCTTCGTCGGGGCAGGCTGCCAC